GCCGCGTAGTGGCTCCAGAACCAGCAAGGACGGCACCAGTACCCCCAGCGGCAGCACCAGCGCCAACAGCACCTCCAGCTCCGACAGCGCCAACTCCCGTAAGATTTTCAGCACTAGCACTTTCAACAGCAAGGACGGCACCAGTACCCCCAGACGCACCACCGCCCGTAGAAACACCAGCACCAACACCCCCCGCACCTCCAGCTCGAGCAGCACCAGCACCGCTAGTAGCTCCAGCAGGACCAACCCTAGTAGCCCCAGCAGCACCCCTAGTCTCGGCAGCACGTCTCGAGCAGCGGGCAAACCACTCGCGTATCTTCTGTGGAGAGAGCGGCTCCCGTCTCCACGAAGCACCGCCGGCGGCCACACGAACAGACCCAGCGCCCCCATGCTCCGCACCCCCAGGCTCAGCACCCCCACGCTCAGCACCCCCACGCTCAGCACCCCCTTACTCAGCACCCCCAGGCTCAGCACCCCCAATCTCAGCACCCCCAGACTGAGCACCCCCAGACCCGGCACCCGCAGGCTCAGCACCTCTAGCAACACCAGAGTCAATATCTACATCGACAGGCTCAACGGCGTCTACCTGGGACACACCTGACGGGGCAGGGCCCTGAGGGGGGAGGGGGTCTACCTAAGAGGACCTGGCGCAAGGAAGAGCGGCGGCGGGGGGAGGGGCGCAGTGCGGTAGGGGAAGAGATGGTAGTAAGGCACCGACTCGTCAAAGGTGACGTCCTGGGAGGACAGAACACGGCGCGAGGTGGGGTGGTAAAATTGTCAACCAGGTGCATCAGGGGGGAAGCCAAGGAAGACGCAGGGAACAATACGGGGGGACAGCTTGTCCGCAGACAAGTCGCGGACAAACACCCGAGATCCCCAGACCCGAAACGCAGACGCATCGCCAACCTTCCCGGTCCACCGCAAGGCGGGGGAGGTCTCTTGCAAGGAGACCCGGGGCTGAAGGTTGATCTAATGCGCTGCGTACTGAACCGCAAACGGCCGCAGAAAATGGGGGGCAGCCGCATGCATCATGGACGTATGAGCGACGTCCATGAACATGCCAATGCGGCGCTCAGCAATCCCATTTTGCTGTGGAGAGGCCGGAAGCGTGAAGGTTTAGCGGATGCCCTATGCACGACAGAAGGCTCCCAGACGGGCAGAGGAAAACTCTCCGCCTCTGTCCGAGTGCAGACGCAGAACAGGAAAGTCCGAGAAGAAACTCTCTCTGAGCTGGAGACAAGTTGCGCGGATCGAGTCGATCAACACCTCAGTGACGTCACCCTTGCTGCGCAAGGGGAAGACTGTGGTGTAAAGAGAGTAGTCGTCAACCACCAGCCGGAAGTACCGCTCGCGCCTCTGCCCACTGACGCGACCTGGGCCCCGCACGTCCATGTGGAGAGTCTGCAGCAGAGCCTCTGTCGGAGGAAACTCGGAGGAGTAAGGGGCGGCGCGCTGTCACCCCTTGACGCAGGGGACGCAGGTAGGGCCAGGCCCCGGAGGAAGGGGAGGGAGAGACTGAGGGAGACCAGAGACAAGGACACGGGTGGCCATGCCTCGAAGATGAGGCAAGGGAGGGTGACCAAGGCGGTGGTGCCAAAGGAGAGTATGGTGGGATAGCAGACGACACGAGCCGGGAGCAGACTCAGGACCAGACCTGGACGCCGCAGCAAACATCTGACTCGAGGTAGCTACCTGGGCAGACTCAGCAGCCGGAGGGGACTCAGTAGTAAGGGTATACAGGCTCGACCCTGGCCGACAGGTGAACGTGGCCAAGTGTCGGCCTGTCCGAGCACACGTGCAGTGGGTCACTCGCTGACTCGTAGGAGTGAACTGGTCAACCCCCCTATCCTGTAGGTCTGCTCCACTCACCAAGTTCGTAGAGAACGAGGGGAGGTAGAGACCTGACAGGGTGCCAGAGGGGGCTGTCGGGCACGGTAAGACAGTGGAGAAGCTAGCAAGGACAGGACCCCGAGAGGGGTCTGCCAGGGAGACTGCAACCGACTGACTGAGCGGCGTAAGAGTGGTGCGGTCTTGAAAGAAGGAGCGGGACGCACGTCAAGGGTGCAGGTGTGGAAGGCTTGAGCCGACGTAGTACCTGAGAGAGCAGACTCACCAGCACCTGGGGCAGCAGACGCACTGGCACCTGGGGCAGCAGACGCACTGGCACTTGGGGCAGCAGACGCACTGGTACCTGGGGCAGCAGACGCACTAGCACCTAGAGCAGCAGCCTCACCAGCACCTAGAGCAGTGGCCTCAATGCCCGGGTCAGGCGGTACACACAGGTAACAGTCACCCTCAACACTAGTAGTCACAGAATACATGGCAGCAAGGATAGCATCATAGTCAAGATCAATGACGGCAACCCCCGCCCTAGATAGATCTCCCCAGCGAGGGATCTCTGTCGCCTCAAGAAACTGGCGACGCCACGCGTCCGTTAGGCGACCGAAGCAGCGCTAGGTGGAGTGCGGGCCTCCGCACTGCTCACCAGCTCGGTCGCCGGTACGGAGGACGTAAGTGCAGGGACCAAAACCCCCACCGCGCTGACGCGCAGTGTACCAATCACGAAGCTGCTGAGGGGACAGGGTCACACCACTCCGCTGCTGCTGGCGCGGACCACCACCTGAGCCACTCCTCTGCGCAGAGTCGCGACCCGCTCCACCACCGCCGCCGCCACTGCTGCGTCTGCTGCCTCCTCCACCTCCGCCTCCTCCGCCACCTCCGCCTCCTTCACTCCCTCCGCCACCACCATCGCCTCCGCCGCCTCCACTGCTGCCGCCGCCGCCGCTACCCTCGGCACCACTCCCACCACCACCCCCACTCCCTCCACTGCCTCCACCACCACCTCCACCGCCCGCTCCAGCCCCTCCAGCGCCCTTGCCCTCCTTGCCCTTGCCGGTGCGGCGTTTCCCGCTGGGGGCAGACGCAGCGCCGACCGACTCGAAACCAACGAGGTCGGCCGCAGCAGTAGAGGCAACAGATGGCAAGAGGGGGGAGGGAGAACACCCCTCAAAGACGGGGGTGCAAGGGTCACCACGAGAGGCTCCTACAGCGACTATGCTCTTCTCTACCGCTAGGAGGGCCTTCTTGAGGAGGTCAACGGGGAGAGTGGAGGGGCAAACTGAGAGGAAGTGGTCCGTGACTACGCGGAGAGAGTTAGGGAGCCAGGTGACTATGTAGTAGAGGGTGATGTACATTCGGGGGGGGTTCTTGGCGTAGAACTCAGCAGGAAGCGCAGCGCGGTAGCGGGTGTCACTAGTGCGAAGGTGCGTAATGAGGTCAACGACTTTTGGAAAGGCAGCAAGGTCAGGGAAGAGGTACGGTAGCATGAGGCGGCTCAGTGCAGCAGTGGTAGGGGAAGAGTAGCGTGCAGCTACAGCGTCGTACAAGGTCTGAGCACTCTTGTACCGGCTAAAGTGTGCACGCTCAGTGGTGGGTAAGTGGCGGCGCACAGCAAGGCGAGCAGCAGCATCGCGCGTGGCCCACTGTGAGCGAACAGTGGCGTCAGCATCAGTAGTAGGGGTAGGAGAGGCACCAAAAGTGAGGTCAAACAGGGAGAGACCGTCTGCCCTATCGCACTGTAGGAAAAGCTGCAGATCATATACCCAGACCTCAAAATCCACTGCCCGACCCTCAGCGTCAAAGGTGAGAACACAAGGGGAGACCATGATAGCAGTAGACAGGTAGTGAGTATAGTGGGGCAGGGCAGTGCAGTGGCAGAGACGCTGCTCTTACCAGGCAAGTGGGGCAGTCCCAGGCAGGCCGACGGGCGGCAGCGCCTGTTAGAATCCCTCTTCTCTTGTAACCTGCATATATGCTATAGGTTAGGCTAGAGTTAAGCACCTAAACTCAGTTTGGGTGTACAAACAAGGGTAACCCAGTTTGTAGGTTGGAACCCAACCTTGGTCCAATTATTGGACCCCAAAAGGTTGGGTTGGGTAGAATTATTGGCCCCCTCCAGTAATGTTGGCCCAACCCCAACTTGGCCAACATTATTGGACCCCACCAATAATCTCCCAACCCAACCTCTTGGTTGGGGTCAAATAATGGCACCTTAGGCCAGCATACAACCCCATTACTATGTATACTCACCTTGTTTCTCCATCACACTATCAACCTCATTTCAACCTCTCTTTTTCACATGGTATAGAGCTGTCATTCCTAGGCCTACTCCTCTCTCAAGCCCACCCGGCCTCCTCCCTCATTTTTTTTTTCCCCTCTCGGCCATCCCGCCGCCTTCCTCCCCCCTGTAGCGCCCTTTTTCCTCCGCAGCTCCACGGCCTCCCAAACCGCTGCAGCCCGCGCCACTCTCTTTCGCGGCCTCGACAACGCCTCCGCGCCAGCGCCGCCGCGGCCTCGCCAGCCGTCGCTGCCCGCGCCCTTCCCCTCCGCGATCTCGACGCCGCCTCCGCGCCTCGCCGCGGCCTCGCCAGCCGCCGCCCGCGCCACCCCGCGGCCTCGATGCCGCCTCCGCGCCAGCGCCGCCGCGGCCTCGCCAGCCGCCGCCGTCCGCGCCCTTCCCCTCCGCGGCCTCGACGCCGCCTCCACGCCTCGCCGCGGCCTCGCCAGCCGCCGCCCGCGCCACTCCGCGGCCTCGACGCCGCCTCCGCGCCAGCGCCGCCGCGGCCTCGCCAGCCGCCGCCGCCCGCGCCCTTCCCCTCCGCGGCCTCGACGCCGCCTCCGCGCCTCGCCGCGGCCTCGCCAGCCGCCGCCCGCGCCACTCCGCGGCCTCGACGCCGCCTCCGCGCCAGCGCCGCCGCGGCCTCGCCAGCCGCCGCCGCCCGCGCCCTTCCCCTCCGCGGCCACGACCCCGCCTCCGCGCCTCGCCGCGGCCTCGCCAGCCGCCGCCCGCGCCACTCCACGGCCTCTCCGCCGCCTCCGCGCCAGCGCCGCCGCGACCTCGCCAGCCGTCGCTGCCAGCGCCCTCCCCCTCCGCGGCCTCGACGCCGCCTCCGCGCCAGCGCCCCGCGGCCTCAACAGCCGCTGCCGCCCGCGCCCTTCCCCTACGCGGACTCGTCGCCGCCTCTCCTCACGCCCCTCCGGGACCACTGCGGGTCCACCCGCGGCCGTCCATCATGGCTCACACCACACCCTCCCCCCTCCCTCCCCCTATTGATACCTCCTCTATCGATAAACTGCAGCTCGCCGCGGACAAATCCACCGTCAACTGGCACTCCTTCATCGGCAGCATTCGTCGAGTTCTCTCCGATGCATGGGTTCCCCCCTACCGCGTCCTTGACGTCATCCTCCGCCGTCCCCATGCTCTCTCCCCCACCGCTCGTGACCACCCCGGCGAGACCCCTCCTCTCCCTCCCTCTCCTGGCGATCCTCCTCGTGAACCCGACCTCCAACTCACCGTCGACCAAGCCACCGCTGATGCAGACTTCATCTTACGACGCCGTGCCTACCTTATCCGCAAAGCTGAGTACGATGCAGCAGTTGAAGCCTATGACCAGGCAGTTGTTGGCCGCAATGCTCATCTTGCCGTCGTCGCCAAATACAACCACGACTTGGCTACCTTTACCCCAAACCTCATCGCCTGGACAGCTGCTGACACCCGCGCCTGCACCGTTCTCCTCGGTGCTCTCCCTGACTCCCTTACGCGCCGCTTCCAGGCTCGGGAACTCCGTGCCTCGGTCATTTGGGCCGAACTCCATGCCATGTTCAAACGCCGCGACATCAGCTCAGTTGGCATCCTCTTTCAAGAGTACTTTTCAATCACCCTCGCTACATGTGACGGAGCGGTCGACTATGTCGGACGTATGCGAGAAGTAGCTGATCGCCTCAAAGCCCGCCAGGCTGGCCTCTCCGAACCCCTCCAAATCCATCGCCTCCTGTTTAACCTCACCCCAGACTATGAATCACGCCTTCACGCCTTTACCGAAGCCAATCCCATGGCCGATCTCGCCTCCGTTGAGCAGTGGATCATAGACACCGAAGTCAAACTCCGCACCCCCATTGTCAACCTCGCCTCCTCCCAATCCTCCTCCTCCTCCCTCAACGCCACCCAGCCCCGCAAGCAGGCTCGGAACAACGGCAAAGGGGGAGGTGGGGCCAAGGGAGGTGGCGGTCAGGGCAACGGCAGCACAAACAGCCGTGGCAGCACCACTGGGGATGAGCATGGCACCACTAATTCGGGCAGAGCCTCTGCAGGCCGCGGAAGTCGTCCTAGCACTCTTCCGCCCCGCACCTATCTCCGTCGCTATGGTCCCCGGGCTGGAACACCCTGCGGGCAGACAAACCATCCCCCTAGCACTTGCTTCAAGGCTCTCGATGATGCCTGGTACGCGCGGGGAAATGTTGGCACTCCTCCCAAGTGGGGAACGATCTCCCCACGTCCCTCCCTTGCCGACATCCAAACCAACCCCGCTTACCTCCCTGCCCACCTCCGCCTCCTTGCTCCCCCCACACCGCTCCTCAATCTCCAACATCAGCACCTCCTGCAGCTGTTTCATCAGCAGCCACAGCAGCAGCAGCAGCCGCAGCCCCAGCCGCACCCATGGGGAACTGGACTCCTACCCCAGTGGGGACCCAGCCCTCCTCCTTGGCAGCAGCAGCAGCTGAATTTTGGCACAGCTGCCATAGCCGCTCAAGCCTCACCGTTCCCCCTTTGGGGTGCTCCACCCCCCAGTAGCACTGCCCCTCCTCTTACTCAGGAGAGCTTTCTTTGCAACATTGCTATCCCACCCTCACTTCCTTCCATGTACCCATCCACCGTTAATGAAACTACTTTCCAGTACTCCGTCTCTTCCTCCTCCTCACCCACTCTCGACTTTGTCCTCGATAGTGGGGCCACTGAGACCGCTCTCAAGGATGCTGGTACACTCACACCCCTCTCTCCTCCCACGCAAGTTCACGGCGCTGACAGCAGCTTTACCATCCCATGCACACACCTCTCCACTCTCCCCTGCACACTCTTCCCCTCTGGTAAGGTAACTGGTCTCCACATCCCCACCCTCCGAAACAACCTCCTCTCCCACCGTGAAATCCAAACTGCAGGTATCACTGCCGTCTATCCAGGTAATGCCACCTAATGTGACCTCTACCACACCGCCACTGGTCGCTTCCTTCTACGCATTCCCCTCTGCCCCCGCACTCGCCTCTACACTCTCCGCACCCCTTGGCCATCCTTCTGCCATGTCACCACTCGTAATGGCACTTCTACTAACCCTCCCCATCCCCCTACCTCACCTCCACGCCACCAGCAGGGGCCGCAGCAACAGCAGCAGCAGCAGCCGCCACAGCAGGGGCAGCCACAGCAGCAGCAACAGCAGCCGCCGCAGAGGCAGCAGCAGGGGCTGCCGCAGCAGCAGCAGCAGCCACTGCAGCGGGGGCCGCAGCAACAGCACCAGCAGCCTCCGCCGCAGAGGCAGCAGCAGGGGCCGCAGCAGCAGCAGCAGCCGCAGCCGCAACAGCAGCAGCAGCAGTCTCCTCCCCCTCTCTCACTCACTCCAACCCCCTCCACCTCCGATCATCTCTCCCACCCCGCTGTGCTGCTCCACCACCGTCTCGGCCACCCCAGTTTCGCCGCTCTCCGCACTACCATCACCTCTCGCCTCCTTCATGGCCTCCCTCCTACTCTCCCCCCCCTCCCTTCCTCTCCAGCCCCTCCATGCCCCTCGTGCATCCACGGCAAACTCAAACAGTCCCCCCACCACAGCCACCCATCCTTTACTCCAGCTCCAATTGACCTCGTCCATATGGACCTCTGGGGACCCTCCCCCACTCGTTCTTGTCAGGGCCATCGCTACATGCTGGTCCTCGTAGACGACCACAGCCGCTACTCCTCCATTTTCCTCCTCCACACGAAAGACCAGGCACCGACCATGATCGTCAACTGGGCCGAGCAATGCCGCGCCCACTTCAAGCGTCCCATCGGCCGCCTACACTCTGACGGGGGAGGCGAATTCCTCAATCGCGCTCTCTCCCATTACTGCACCACCCATGGCATCCAACAGACTCACACCCTCCCCCACTCCCCGCAGCAGAATGGCGTCGCAGAAAGCCGGATTCGCGAAATCACCAAGATCGCCCGCTGTCTCCTCGCTCACGCCTCAACCCCCCCTTCCCTCTGGGGCTATGCTTTGCTCCATGCTGCCCTCCTCCTCAACCTTCACTCCCATCCCCAACATACCACCACCACCCCCACGGAGCTTTGGTCGGGCACCAAACCTGACGCAGCTGGTCTCCGTGTCTGGGGTTGCAAGGCATATGTCCTTATCCCTCCACCCAATCGCACCCACGGCAAGCTCGCTTCTCGTGCCCTTGAGTGTGTCTACCTCGGGCACAACCGCGACTCGCCTGGCTACCTCTTCCTTCACCCTCCCTCTGGACGCCTTATCCGCAGCATTGACGTCGTCTTTGACGAAACCACCCCCTATTACTCCTCTTCACCACCAGACCCCCTCCCTCCTCCTTCACGTCCTCTCACCTGGACCGACACTGTGCTCCCTCCCCTCCTCCCTCCTGCACCCCTTCTCCCACCTCTCCCTACTCCGCTTCCGCCACCCTCATCTGCTGACATCTACGATCCCACTGCTCCCGCATCCCCTGCACACTCCGCAGCCCCCCCCTCCCTCCTCTCCCCCCCCCTCTCCTTCTCCTCCGTCCCAGCAGCACGGGCAGCAGCCGCAGCAGCAGCAGCATGGGCAGCAGTAGCCGCCGCAGCAGCAGCAGCAGCAGCCGCCGCAGCAGCAGCAGCAGCAGCAGCAGCAGGGGCAGCAGCAGCAGCAGCAGTAGGGGCAGCAGCCGCAGGGGTTCCAGCAGCACCAGGAGCAGCAACGGCAGAGGGCAATTGCCCGCTCCTCACCCTTCCTCCTCCCTCACATGCACATCCGCTCCCTCGATCCCATCCTTGGCACACCGCCGCCTCCCTCCCTCAACCAGCTCGAGGATTCCCATGAGGAGTTCACCATGGTCCAGCGCCACACTCCCTCTCTCACCACGCTCTACCCTGGCCTCCTCGGCGCTTTAATCCTTAGTGCGATCTCCGCTACCACCATCTTCGTCCCCTCCACCTTCCAGGAGGCTATCACCTGCCCTGACGCTGACAAGTGGATAGCCGCCATCTTCATGGAATGTGAGGCATTTATCTGCAACGACTCCTTCATCGACGTTCCCCTCCCCCCTGACACCAACCTTGTCGAGGGCAAGTGGATCTTTCGAGTCAAGCAGCTGCCGGGAGAAGAACCGGTCTACAAAGCCCGCTACGTTGCCAAGGGGTTTACTCAGACCTGGGCTGAAGACTTCTGGTTCACATTTGCCCCCACTGTCAAGCTGGCCACCCTACGCACCCTCATGGATATTGGTGCGCGTGACGACATGGAGATTGACTCCATGGACGTCTCCAATGCGTTCCTGCAAGGCGAATTGCACGAGCGCATCTTCCTCCGTCGGCCTCCCGGGTTTCATGCTGCTTTCCCTGACAACACCGTTTGGCAACTTCGGCGACCTGTTTATGGCCTAAAGCAGGCACCACGAGAATGGCATGCGAAGCTGTCTGCCATTCTCCAGTCCCTTGGTTTCTCCGCCTCCCACTCCGATGCCAGCCTCTTCATCCGCTCTTCCCCCTGTCGCTTCTTCATCTCGGTCTACGTTGACGACATGATCCTGCTCGCTGACACCAAGGCCGACATGGAGCACGTCAAGCGGTCACTTCAGGAACGTCTCAAATGCAAGGACCTTGGTCCGCTGCAGAACTACCTCGGCATGGCTATCACTCGTGATCGATCCGCCCGCACCATCACCCTCTCCCAGTCCCACTACATCAGCCAGGTCCTGGAGAAGTTCGAGATGGCGTAGGCCAAACTGGTCTCCACCCCCCTCCCCTTCGGTCACCAACTCACGCCACCCACCTCCCCCTCCCCCTCCTCCCGGCCCTATGCCGAGCTTGTTGGGTCGCTGATGTACGAGATGATGTGCACTCGTCCCGACCTCGCCTACCCCATCAGCGTCCTTGCTCGGTTCGTCGGCTTCGGCCGCCACACTGAAGAACACTGGGCTGCCGCCAAGCGGGTCCTCCGCTATCTCCGTGGCACCAAGGATCACGCCCTCACCCTGGGTGGATCCTCCCCTCCCCTTCTCTCTGGTTTCAGCGACTCATCTTGGGCAGACTCCCCGCCGGACCGCCGCTCCTCGCAAGGCTATGGCTTCACACTCGACAGCGGGCTTATGAGCTGGCGTTCTACTCGCTCCTCTGCCATTGCCCTCTCCTCCTGCGAAGCTGAACTCTATGCTGGCACCATGGCCGCGCAAGAGTCCCGCTGGCTCTGCTTTCTTCTGGCAGAGCTTGGAGCACCCCAACGCTGTCCTACGCTCTGGTGCGACAACGCTAGCACCATCCATCTCACCCAGGACCCCGTCTTCCATGGTCGCTCCAAGCACATTGAGCTCCGCTATTTCTTCATCCGTGACCTTGTCCACCAGAACCTCGTTGCCGTTCGCAAGATCGCTGCTGCAGCCAATTTGGCTGATATCTTTACCAAAGCCCTTCTTCGCCCTGCGCACTCTGCTCTTCTCCGCCTCATCGGCCTCGCTCCCCCAGGCGCGCCTTGATTCAGGGGTTGCTTCCCTCAAGCCTTTTCGCATCTCTGCCGGTTAAGGGGTTGTGTTAGAATCCCTCTTCTCTTGTAACCTGCATATATGCTATAGGTTAGGCTAGAGTTAAGCACCCAAACTCAGTTTGGGTGTACAAACAGGGGTAACCCAGTTTGTAGGTTGGAACCCAACCTTGGACCAATTATTGGACCCCAAAAGGTTGGGTTGGGTAGAATTATTGGCCCCCTCCAATAATGTTGGCCCAACCCCAACTTGGCCAACATTATTGGACCCCACCAATAATCTCCCAACCCAACCTCTTGGTTGGGGTCCAATAATGGCACCTTAGGCCAGCATACAACCCCATTACTATGTATACCCCCCTTGTTTCTCCATCACACTATCAACCTCATTTCAACCTCTCTTTTTCACAGCGCCTCCACTGCGATGCGGCTCGGCGGCTCGGCTGCAGGGCGGCTCGGCGGTCGGGCGGCTCGGCTGCTCGGCGGCTCGGCTGCTGGGCGGCTCGGCGGTCGGGCGGCTCGGCTGTAGGGCGGCTCGGCGGTCGGGCGGCTTGGCTGCTCGGCGGCTCGACTGTCGGGCGGCTCGGCTGCTCGGGGGCTGGGCTGCTCGGCGGTTTGGCTGCTTGGCGGCTGGGCTGCTCGGCGGCTCGGGCGCTGGGCGGCTGAGCGGCGACGGGGCCGTGGAAGGGCGGCGACGGGGCCGCTGAAAGGGCAGCAACGGGCCGCTGAAAGGGGGGCGACGGGCCGCGAAGGGGCGGCGACTGGGCCGCGGAAGGGGTGGGCGACGGGGCCGCTGTAGGGCGGCGACGGCGCCGCTGAAGGGCGGGCGACGGGGCCGCTGAAAGTGCGGGCGGCGACGGGGCCGCTGAAAGGGCGGCGACGGAGCCGCTGCAGGGCGGCGACGGCGCCGCTGAAGGGCGGGCGACGGGGCCGCTGAAAGGGTGGGCGGCAACGGGGCCGCTGAAAGGGCGGCGAAGGGGCCGCTGAAAGGGCGGCGACGGGGCCGCTGGAGGTGGGCAACGGGGCCGCGGAAGGGCGGTGTCGGGGCCGCGGAAGGGCGGCGACGAGGCCGCTGTAAGGGCGGGCGGCGAGGCCGTGGAAGGGCGGAGACAGGGCCGTGGAAGGGCGGCGACAGGGCTGCTGAAAGGGCGGCGCCGGGGCCGCTGAAAGGGCGGCGACGGGGCCGCAGGAAGGGGCGGCGACGGGGCCGCTGAAAGGGCGGCGCGACCGGGCCGCAAGGGCGGCGCGACGGGGCCGCAAGGGCGGCGCGACGGAGCCGCAAGGGCGGCGCGACGGGGCCGTTAGGGGCCGGAGAAGGGGCCGCTAGAGGCCGCTAGAGGGGGAACGACACGTGGCGCGACTCGAGCAGGGGCCAAGCGCGCTCCGGGTAGGAAAAAAAAGATCGGTGGGCCCTAGGAACAGTTCCCACGAGAGAACCAGCTCTATACCATGTGAAAGTTAGAACGAGAGAATGGTTGAACTATGAAAGAGTTGGGTACAAGTACTAACCCTAATTGGGTTGTACCCCTTATGGGCTACCCTACTACAGCCTACACAAATGTATAAGCTATAATTTTCTGACACGACACCGTCACTACGCTGGCACCATACTGCGCCGGCACCGGGCGTAGGTTTATGTGACGTCCCCGACCTAGGCCCTTGCACAGCACCACCATAGTCAACGGGTCCCGTACAGTAGCGCCGGCACAAAAAACAAACCGTTGAGAGCATACGGCGGGCGCCAACGTCGCTACGTGGGCAGCAGAACGTAACGTTCGTCGTTTGCGGGCAAGGGACGTTGGCAGGGCACCCCCATGGCTGCCCCGCTTTACCACCTTAGAGTCAGGGCACCCCTTTGGGTTGACATTTGCTGCTGCTGTTGATCTAACCTGGCCGCTCCCTCCAGGGGAAGGCTCCGCTTCGAGGCGCTACACGGCCGTGGGTTGCGTGAGAGCAGTGAGTGCCCCATTTCTCAGCATAAATCCGTTCCTTTCACAGCTAGTACCATCACTTCACCTTGGGACCGTGAGTTGGTTCAACACACGCCACTCCTGCAGATCCACTCTTCGTTTCTCCGCGTCCCTATCGCTACTCTCGCTCACCCTCACGCTCCCACGCTCCCTCAGTGCTTTCAACACCCGCGAGAATGGCTTACTCTCGGACGGCCGTCCTGGTTGCGTTGCTACTGCACGCGGCGTGCCTCTCATCGCCGCATCGCCTCATTGCGGGCCACGTGTGGCCTCTCAGAGAAGAAGCCTCCCGCCGCGAGATGGCCGTCAAGGCGCCTCGTGAGTGTTGTACCCAGTCGTCCAAGGGACTGCAGTCGTCCGACTTATTTGACTCACCCATTCCCATTCAATCCCAAACTGTTTCGAGAATTTGATTACCCCATGCCGCCCCTAGTACTAGTCCACCCATCCGTGCCTCTCCCCATCGCCTCGCCCCTCCTCCCGCCAGCCACATGTCCCGCTGGCGTGGTGTGCCCGACGGGAGCATACTGCGTGGTGGACAGCCGCGGCTTCCCCTTCTGCAAGTGCCTGAGCGGGGAGGGCATCATCAACAACGGCGCGTGCATCGGTGGAATGAGCTGGAAGATGGTCGGCACGAGCGTCGTGCTCTACAACGGCCCCTCCTTCACCAACTTGCCCGCCATGCTCGCACCCGCCGTGCTGCGCTCGCCAGCACTCAACTCGCCGGTGTGTCGGGTGGTGCCGAAGGGGTTCAACGGCACGGTGGGGTCGCTGCGCATCATGTGGAGCGTGGATGACAGCGCCAAGGACCACCTTGTGTGCGGCAAGCTCGTCTTCTGGGACAAGCCCGACTACTCTGGGTCGGCATCGGTGTTTGAGATTCCTGGCAAGTGGACTGCAACCAAGGCCGACAAGTTCAACTACGCCACCACCAGCGTCAAGTGAGTGGCCGTGCTGCAGCACCGCTGCATTGACCGTGGCTCTGCTTGTGTTTTACATGCACTAATCGTGACTCACTCTGCGTGTGTTGTGTTGCCTGGTGGCATGGAGTGCAGGAAGGCAGCGGGCGTGGTGGCGACGGGCAGGTCCTTCTCGTGTCTGGCGGCCGTGAAGCCGCCTGTCACGGACCTCTATGCCACGGCGGCATGCCCGCCCAACTCCAAGTGCTCCCTCAAGAACAGCTCCTATGCCGTCTGCACGTGTGACGCTGGCACCACCATGGTCGACAATGGCTACTGCGTTGGTGAGTCGTCGTCATGTCGTGGAGTGGAGTGGAGTGGGGTGGGCCGTGGACCATGGGAGGTGGTTCATGTAGAGTCCTTGCTGCACTGATGATTTGCTGCAGCCTTTACCTCCACTAAGCCATCCTGCCCGCATCTCTCTGCCTCTCGCTCCCTCTCTCCCCCTCTCGCTCCGTCTCTCTCCCTCTGTCTCGCGCTCCCTCCCTCTTTTCCCTCTCCCTCTCTCCCACTTGCTCCCCCTCTCTCTCCCACTTGATCCCCCTCTCTCCCACTGGCTCCCTCTCTCTCTCGCACTGACTCCTCCTCTCTCTTCCTCTCTCTCCCACTCGCTCCCCCTCTCTCTTCCTCTCTCCCCATCTCTCTCCCTCTCTCTCCCATTCTCTATCCAACGTCACATGCACGAGATGTCTGGTTTGCTCTCATTGGTCCGTTTCTGCATAAAATGGCTTCATGCATGCACACCAATCTGCTATTTCTTTCTTGTGTTGCAAATTCGTGCTCCGTCAAGTAGTGTGGCCAGAATGGCCGTTGCGTCTTTCTGTCTAATGGCGAGCCGTATTGTGATTGCATGGATGGCTACGAGCAGGAGTTGGTAACGGGCTCATGCATTGGTATGTGTGCTTACCTTTGCATGTCTCTCTATCTCACTCTTCCCTTTCCACTTTTTCCATCTCCTCCTTCCTCCCCATTCCTCTCCACCTTCCCTTTCCCGCTCTTGCCTCCTTGTTCTCCCATGTAAATTACTCCTGTTATTACCTATCCCCTTTGAGCATTGTTGTCTTTCCTTCCCTCTGCACAAAGTCACCAATCTCACGTTCTTTGTTGTTTCCTCAACCCCTATGTTGCCTACAAGAGAAGGGCAGTGCAAGGACTGCCTTCTTGGTACCGTTGGCATCTATAATATGTCATACCCTTACTGCGCACCTGGCTACACCCAGCACTCTGGTGCTTGCCTGCCAGGTGGGTACTGTACCTCTTGCAGCCTGTGCATGCCCCATGCGATCAGCAGGTAGTACCACCACTTACAATGCAGTTGCTGCTTCCCCATCATTTCAAAGAATCATCTAGTGCCAGAAACCTCCTTGCTGTCTTCTTTCCTTCTCTGCCTGATCGATTCTCCTCTCCACCACTCCCCTGCATCCATTCACCTGACTTGATTTGCAGGAGTCGTTCCCGACGTGGCTGACGTGGCCATCAGCATCTACAGCGCGCTGAACCTGGGTGGCAAGAATCCTCCCTACGTCTTCCGTCTCAAGCCGAACAAGAGTGTCAACATTCCGATTGGCGTGCTTACGAGCAGCAAGTCGGTGGGCATGCTATTCCGTGCGCCGAGGTCGAACCTGAGGTGCACATCCGTTATCATCTACGACACGGTCAGCTGCAGTGGCAACCAAATCAGCTTCGATGTGCCCCCTGGCAATGACGTTACTGCCGTGCCCATTCTGTGAGTCTCTCTCTCTCTCTCTCTCTCTCTCTCTCTCTCTCTCTCTCTCTCTCTCTCTCTCTCTCTCTCTCTCTCTCTCTCCCCCTCTCTCTCCCCCCCTCTCTCTCCCCCCCTCTCTCTCCCCCCCTCTCTCTACCCTCTCGCTCTCCCCTCTCTCTCTCCCCCTCTCTCCTCCTCTGCTAGCCTGCCCTCCAACTTGTCTCTAACCTCAACGCCCACTATTTTAGCCATTATTCCGAATCGTATGCATGAACTTTTGATTAAATGCCATATTTGAATCTTCATGTTACTCTCTTCAGGAACAATGGACTCTGGAAGCCCTACTCTGTTCAGTGCCGTTTGTGGGCTGAAGAATGAGGCTCGGCCTGGGAAGTTGTCAAGCTTTAAGATCTCAAGTCAAAGTAGAAGGCTGCATGGATCAGATGGTCCCGAGTCAAATCGTAGTTGAACCCTTCTGGGCAACAAGTAGTTCTTTGCTAGGATTTTTCTGCTTCCCCTTCCCTCCCTGTTCCCCTTCCCTTCTCACTCTCCCCTTTTTCCCTTCTCTTACCACTCTCCGTCCCATCTGTCCTTACTCTCCCTTTCCTGTTGACTTGGAGTACCTAGTAGTATCGTTTCTTTCCATTATAAAGAGCTACCAGTAGTATGGTTTTGATTAACTATTCTGTCACAACTTTGGTGTGCTGTGTTGCTCTTTTGATCTTCCTTTATAGTGGACATCTTGGACTGCCAACCCAGGTAGCGCGGAGGGTGTATTTTAGCAAAACATTCTGAAGACCCTCCTGAGTCCTAACTCGATTTCTAACGGTAGTTTTAGTATTTCGGGTCAGGTGTATGCAATTACTGTACGCAAGAACAACTACTGTATGCTGTGCTTGAATGTTGGCAGCGCACACAGAAACAAATTTTGAATGCTGCAACTCGGTTCAGGGTTTCCGAAAATGAACTTTGGACTGGCAGCAAAAGGGCGTCTTGTCAGCCAGCGAGTATTGGAGAAGGAAAATTGCCAAGTGTACACACCTGGCACCGAGAGCCAGTCAGGCACGAGTGGCCATGAAATGAGAGGAGACAAGGTTAACAGAATGAGAAAGATGCGATCATGCGAGCTATGCCCGTTCGGCCATGAGGTGCGCAGAAAACGAAAATGCACTGCACCACACTGTGCAGCAGCGAGAAGGCGTCGCCAAGCGAGTAGTTACATTGGAGAAGGGATAGTGGCAAGACACAGACGGCACCGAGACAGTCAGGCAATGGGCATGGGCAGCCATGAGGTGGGAGAAGACGAGGTGAGACCCGGAGGTGGTCATGCCCGGGCAGCCATGAGGTGCGCTGACACGAGCACGAATTGCAGCGCGCTGTGGGGAAGCGAGAAGGAGTCGCCCAGCGTTATTCAGTGTTACGATGCGTTATGGGGCGGTACGAGGTATTACGGGGCGTTACGAGGCGTTACGGGACGCACTACGGACGGGGCGCATTATGAATGGGGCGAGGCGTGGGATAGGCGGTAAGAGGCGCGGTCTTTTAGGCTCGGATTGAACCTCCTACTGATACCATGTCAAGAACTAAGCCACATAGGTAGAGAGAGAATGGTGGTCATTAGTGGGGAGAAGGTACAAGTACAACTGTCAAGAGAAAACCTTTACCCTATATCTTGGACCTCACTACCGCCTAACAGACCTAACATTATTATATGCATATACATAGTTTGCCATGCCCCACTAAAGCCTGGCATGCAGTTTTGCAGTTTGACACCCTCCAATTACAGTGCCATGTTGTAGGGGGAGGGGGGGAGAGGGTGTGGGTGTGGCGGTATTCAAGGCAATTACCCCTCCTCTCTCTTCCGCTGCACCTCTTCATCTCCTCCTCCTTCTCGTGAACATCGTACAACCGTCATATCTGTTGGGCTGAGAAAAGCCCTTAGGATCCTTTCAAGGCTAAACTCTGAGTAGAAGTGTTGTATTTGCGGAAGCATTTTAATGATGAAGTGTTGAACCACCTTGCGCTAGTATGTGAGGGCAAGATAGATTAATTAAGCAAGACGATACAAGGGTTCATAAGAGTACAAGGAATATGAAAAGATGCAGCTAATAACCGTTTTACTGTTGGTGTTGCGGTTGGATACAGTGACGACTCGAGCAACTGCTCAATAGCGAGTCAGTTGTTTGTCCTTGCTGTCGCTCTGTATTTGTCAAGTCAAAGGTCGCTGACCTTTGACCTTCGCGTAACCTCCACCAGTTGATTCTCTTGTCAACCTCCGATGGTTAACTCGCCCATTGTTCCTCTGTAGTTTGTCTCGTTTGTAGTTCGGTGTTACGACACATACGAAGCTTTTTATCAACTATTTCCAACACTCCCCTTCGCTTCTGGAGTGTCACTGCTAGGGACGTGGCTTTGTCCAGTCAGCAGCATGCAGTACTCGAAATTCTGCTTTCCGAGCTTCTTGGTCAAATAATCATCTGCCATCTCGGACGTGGGACAGTAGGATAGCTCGAGTCTCCCCTTCTCGATCTCGTCTTTCACGAAGAAATATCACAAGGCGATATGCTTTGTCCGGTTTGCGAACCCATTCTTGTTCGTGTTGAAATGAACGAACAGGAATGATTGAACTAACAGTGAAATCAGTACAAGTACCTAACCCTAGAATTGTGTACCCCCTGTAGGCTAACCCATTGTAGCCTAAAAAAACACAACCTATATAATGTTTGACACACCCCCATAGGCGAAGTGGGGGAGAACTAGGGGTCACAAGACCAGTCATGGCAAAGCGGCAGCAAAGCACTCACACTCCTCCTGCCTGTCCTCAAGGACGTCAGTGCCAAGAGCACACTCACCCCCGACGGACGGAGGACAGACAGACTCAAACTCAGCAACTAGGCTAGCGGGGTAGTCTAGACGACAGGTGGCAGCAAAGTCGACAAGCTCAGCAACTAAGGCAGACGCAACAGCGGACTCAAAGGAAGGGTCAGTGACAACAGTAGCCAGGAGACGCGTGATAGTAGGAGTGGCACCACGAAGGGAGTCTGACCCCAGGTCAGCAAGAGCAAGAAGAGAGGACGTAGGAGGAGACGGCAGTGGGACACGCTTTGGAGCATTGGAAGGACAAAGCGCCATCGGGTGAGTGCCTGGGAAAGCAGGAAGACGCTGACGCGGGACACGACTACCAGTGAGAGCAGCACGGACAGGCGACGCACGACGAGACTCAGGCGACGCAGGACGAGACTCAGGCTCACGATGCTCAGTAAGACCTCCAATCGGACGAGTGTAAGGAGCAGGACCAGGGAGAGAGGAGGCAGACGGTAGCTGCAACTGCAGCTGGACAGACGGAGGACACCCTAAGGAGGGAGGAGGACAAGGAGGAGGGAGCTGACCAAGATCCTGCTGAAGGAGCGGAACGAAGTACGGCTCCGGCCGTGCAGCGACTCCAGAACCAGCAGAGACACCAGCGCCAGGGTCCTCAGCACCAGCAGCAGCTCCAGCTCCCGGGTCCTCAGCACCAGCAGCAGCTCCAATGCCCAGGTCCACAGCACAAGCAGTAGTACCAGCGCCAGGGTCCTCAGCACCAGCAGAAGCTCCAACGCCCGGGTCCTCAGCACCAGCAGCAGCTTCAACGCCCGGGTCCGCAGCACCAGCAGGAGCTCCAACGCCCGGGTCCTCAGCACCAGCAGCAACTCCAACGCCCGGGTCCTCAGCACCAGCAGCAACACCAGCGCCTGGGTCCTCAGCACCAGCCGTAGCTCCAACGCCCGGGTCCGCAGCACCAGAAGCAGCTCCAACCTCTGGGGCCGCAGCACCAGCAGCACCAGTAGAGTCTCCAGTACCAGCAGCACGAGCAGCAGCAGCGGGGTCTGCGACACCACGCGCACCACTCCAAAGAGTGCAGCGCTGCTCGTACCACTCACGGATCCGCTCACGGGAGGGGAGCTCCCGACTAGGAGGAGAAGCACTAGCACCAGTCCCAGTAGTACGCTTGGCTCCAGGGGTACCTCTCCTGAGAGTGCAGTCCTGTAAGTACCACTCACGCAGCTGCTCCGAGGAGAGGGCTCCTCCAGGTGTAGGACTCCCAGGCTCAGCACCTCCAGACTTAGAAACCCCCAGACTCCAGACTCTACGGCTCAGCACCCCCAGGCTCAGCACCCCCAGGCTCAGTACCCCCAGGCTCAGCACCCCCAGGCTCCGCACCCCCAGGCTCCGCACCCCCAGGCTCAGCACCCCCAGGCTCCGCACCCCCAGGCTCCGCACCCCCAGGCTCCGCACCCGCAGCAGGACGAGAGTTGACAGCGACCTCAACAAGCTCAACCGGGTCTACCTAAGACACACCTGAGGGAGCGGCACCCTGAGGGGGGAGGGGGTCTACGACAGCAGCACCTGGCGCGAGGAAGAGAGGCGGGGGAGGGGAGTGGAGCAGTGCGGTAGGGGAAGAGGCGGTAGTAGGGGACGGACTTGTCAAAAGTGACGTCCTGAGAGGGCAAGACTCGGCGCGAGGTGGCGTGGTAAAACTGCCAACCAGGCACGTCCGGGATAAAGCCGAGGAAGACGCAGGGAACAGCACGGGAGGAGAGCTTGTCCGCAGACGTATCGCGGACAAAAGCTCAAGATCCTCAGACCGGAAAACGCGACGCATCGCCAACCTTCCCCGTCCACAGCAGTGTGGGCGAGGTCTCCGGCAAGGAGACACGGGGCCAGAGGTTGAGCTGATGCCCAGCATACTGGACCGCAAACGGTCACAGAAAGTGGGGGGCAGCCGCATGGATCAAGGAGGTACGGGCGACCTCCATGACCAGGCCAATGCAGCGCTCCGCAATCCCATTCTGCTGTGGAGAGGCCGGAAGTGTGAACGACTGCTCAATGCCGTGCTCAGCACAGTAGGCTGCCAAGAGGTCGGAGGAGAACTCACCACCTCTGTCAAAGTGCAAGCGCAGGACAGGAAAGTCCGAGTGGAAACGCTCGCTGAGCTGGAGACGGGCTCTGCGGATCCAAGGGATCAAGACATGAGGGACCTCACCCTTGGTGCGCAAGGGGAAGACCGTGGTGTAGCGTGAGTAGTCGTCAACAACTATCAAGAAGTACCTCTCCTGACCCTGACCACGGACGCGGGCTGGGCCCCACACGTCCATGTGGAGCGTCTGCAAGGGAGCAGTCTTCGGGGGAAACGAGGAGGAGTGAGGAGCGGCGTGCTGCCGCCCCTCGACACAGGGAAGACAGGGAG